TAAATGACATATAAAACAGCTATAGTCTATAGTGTAGTCTGTAAATGACATATAAAACAGTTCTAGTCTATAGTGTAGTCTGTAAATGACGTATAAAACAGCTATAGTCTATAGTGTAGTCTGTAAATGACATATAAAACAGTTCTAGTCTATAGTGTAGTCTGTAAATGACATATAAAACAGTTCTAGTCTATAGTGTAGTCTGTAAATGACATATAAAACAGCTATAGTATATAGTGTAGTCTGTAAATGATGATACTAACAAATGTTTTGAGATGTCAACAGTATTCATTTAACCATCCATCATAATCATAATATATCTATTTTTGTGTTTTATCCTTGACCAGAAGTGACCTCGGTATTACTATTTATACAATCTCAATAAATGTCATGGTTTAACAAATAAACAAATATCCATTGTGTCTTTTTTCAACAGCAAAACTTGCCATCCTAAATCATTGGTTTCAAGTGCATTATTGGGATATGTTTTTTAAGACTTGATCTGGTCTTCAAAGATACAAGTAAGAGTCAGTAGAAAGCCAAGTTTTTCATGGATGGTAAAAGAATGTGTAATAGCTATAGATTTCTATGTATTGTATTGTCAGAATATAAAAGGATCTCCCTTGTTAAAGAGTATAAATTCATTGGTTTTTTTTACAAGATATAAGCAGTTACCCACCCTTTTATCGTGATGTCTAATAACAGTATGACAGTTTGTTGCTATCTAAACTTAATCTTTATTTAATATTAAATCCAACACTTAGTAGTAATTAAGTGATATTTAAAGTCTACAGAAATTCAGACTTAATATATAAACATAGAAAAACAAAATGTCTGAAACTGAAAATAAAAGCAACATATACATGCAAACCAATAAACAAACCGCAAAATTGGTGTCTTTGAGTTAATTGTCTTAACAATTACTTTTACAGCACAAACCTGTAAATTCTATGACATTAAAAGTTACAGTGAACAATTTTGATGCTTCAAATTTTCAGGGCTAGTTGCGTCCTAAATGTATCTCTTATATAATGTGTCTAATACGTTTTCAAATGATATGTGTATAAAGGCTTTATTAAAATAGAAACAATTCATGTAAAGCCTGGACAACAGATTTTCTGTCACTAAACCTTCCATAACAAGAGTGCACACGCTGAAATGTCTCGCCTTCTTTACTAACCATTGATATTATGTTGATAGTCCTAAATATAAAGCTTTACTACAACTATCACATAAACTTAACATGATCCAAGAAAATGAGGTCAAGGTCATATAAACCGAAAGAGAAATACATGTACACCTTACAATCATTCAATACACTAAATATAGTTGACCTATTGCTTATAGTTTCTAAAAAACAGACTTAACCAAGACAAAGTTCAGCAGGAAAACTTAACATTGACCAATGAGCCATGTAAATCAGGTCAAGGTCATATGATATCTGGCAGACAGACATAAACACCTCATAAACATTCCATACATCAAATATAGTTCACTTATCAAAAAGAGTATAAGAATAAAAATGGAACAAGACATAAAAAAATTTACACTGAGCAATGAACTGTGAAAATCAGGTCACGGTCAGATGACACCTGCCAGCTAGACATGTACACCTTACAATCATTCCATACACCAAATATAGTAGACCTATTGCAAACAGTATGAGAAAAACAGACTAAAACACAAAAACTTAAGTAAAACCACCAAACCATGAAAATGAGGTCAAGGTCAGATGACACCTGCCAACTAGACATGTACACCTTACAATCATTCCATACACCAAATATAGTAGACCTATTGCATACAGTATAAGAAAAACAGACCAAAACACAAGAACTTAACACTGATCAATGAACCGTGAAAATGAGGTCAAGGTCAAATGAAACCTGCGCGACTGCATATAGATCATAAAATATTTCCATACACCAAATATAGTTGACCTATTGCATATAGTATTAGAAAAAAAAGACCAAAACTCAAAAACTTAACTTTGACCACTGAACCATGAAAATGAGGTCATGGTCAGATGACACCTGCCAGCTAGACATGTACACCTTACAATCATTCCATACACCAAATATAGTAGACCTATTGCATACAGTATAAGAAAAACAGACCAAAACACAAAAACTTAATTATAACCACTGAACCATGAAAATGAGGTCAAGGTCAGATGACACCTGCCAGTTGGACATGTACACCTTACAGTCCTTCCATACACCGAATATACTAGACCTATTGCTTATAGTATCTGAGATATGGACTTGACCACCAAAACTTAACCTTGTTCACTGATCCATGAAATGAGGTCGAGGTCAAGTGAAAACTGTCTGACAGGCATGAGGACCTTGCAAGGTACGCACATATATAGTTATCCTATTACTTATAATAAGAGAGAATTTAACATTACAAAAAATCTTAACTTTTTTTTCAAGTAGTCACTGAACCATGAAAATGAGGTCAAGGACATTGGACATGTAACTGACGAAAACTTCGTAACATGAGGCATCCATATACAAAGTATGAAGCATTCAGGTCTTCCACCTTCTAAAATATAAAGCTTTTAAGAAGTTAGCTAACGCCACCGCTGCCGCCGTAGCCGCCGCCGCTGCCGCCGGATCACTATCCCTATGTCGAGCTTTCTGCGACAAAAGTCGCAGGCTCGACAAAAACCCCATAATATTGATGTATATCAATCAATTTCGGTTTCCTTAAATAGAATCATTGATTGGTAGTTTTAATATGTCACCTGATAACATAAACTGACCAATTTAATTGAGTGTTATCTACTTTGAATCAAGTAGCTAAACAGTTTGCATGAATAAAACAACTTTCCACTTCCAACTACAGCTTTTCATGAAAAAGTATAAGACCAATAAGCTCCTCTGATTTCCATAAAGCCTTATTTAAGTAACTATGAAGAAATGAAAAGAAATATGTGTCCTGCATAAATTAAAGGGGTACAGCTCACCAATGATAAGCATTCAGGAAGTGGCAGCAGCAATGGAAAGCAATGAAAGTGCATCATACAGTGTAACATGCTCATATAAAGATTGATACCAAATTTCAGGAAGCCCAGATTCTTAGGTCTTTAGAAAAATGCAAAAGAAAGTTCCATACATTGCAATTATATGAAAGAATATATAAGAATGTGGTCAGGTTAGGAAGTTGGTGAGCCATGGCTGTGAAAACACATCACACAGTGTTGTCTGCTCACATGAAGCTTGAGATTCCCCCAGTTTTTTGGTATGGTTGTGTTGCTCAGTCTTGAGTTTTCTATGTAGTGTTTTGTATACTCATGTGTTTGTCTTTTGGTCTTTTTAGTTTTTTGCCATGGGATTTTCAGTTCATTTTCCACTTATGAGTGTGATTATCCGGTATCTTTCACTTCTCTTTAACATATATATAAGTATTTGGTAAACAGGAAGTTCATGAGCCATGGCTTTGAAAATGTATCATACTGGAAAGCATGTTCAAATGAAGCTTGATACAGTTTCTGGAAACTGTAATTTGTAGTTCCAGAGTCAAAGGTCAGGAACATTTCAAACATAGCTAACATGTATAAGAATATACATCTACAGCATTTGGTCTCTGGTGGATAGTGTCTCTTTGGCAATGCTACCACATTTCCTTATTTTATCTATAATGAAGTGGCATTGAATTAGTGTTTATGAAGGGATGGTAATACCAATGGCAACATAGTGAAATATTTGTTTATTCTGGAGTTTTCAATCATTATTTTTAGATGAACTGGGCAAGACAGACAAGGATATGATTATCTTCACAATTCATCAGCAAAAAGAATTTGACATGCTCACACAAGTTTTACAGTTATATATCTGAGATTAAATATAATAGGTAATTTCTGTCCTGTGAATGCTTAACATAGAATAAGAAAGGAATCTTGTCCTCTACTTCATGTAGTGAACAATTAGTAAAAATAACTTTCCACCATAGTATGCCCTAATGTTTCTTCCTTGATCTATCAATGATGAATAATATTAATTGATTGGCCAATTAACAGCTGTATCAAGCTAACATGTATATAGATAAGTTCTTTAATGTAAGATGTGCACTTTTTTCTTGTTACTTATTTAATTTAATATAGTCTTAATACTGTTTTTTAATGTCACTTTTAAAAAAAAATTTTTTTTTTAAATATGGTATCTTGCATGTGGAAAAAATTATAGATTTCTATAAAGATGTTCAAGTAGGATGGTTCACAGATGTGTTATTTAATTAACTTCAATCTTTCATGACAACAAATCACAGTATAACCTGCAGCAAAGTATTTTCATAAATAAATTTCTGTTTTATTGTAAATACTTGAGGATATAAATATACTAGAACTAGGTACATATTACAGTAGTAAGTCCAATATGGAGCTTAAAAGTCAAGGTTAAAAGATCATCAGTCATTTTGATGGTCTGTCAGATATTGACTAAAGTCAGCATAAATCAGTTTAAACCAGTGATAAGTGACCTTTGGAACCAACACACTAAATTTCTACATCCTATTGCCCTTATTTTTTTTTTTACATAACACCAACATTTTTATCCTTTATCAAACATAAGTTTGTCTGCTGAAGTAACAGTGCTGGATACATATGATTTAAACTGAGATGCAATTAAACACAACAAAACTGGGAATTAAAAATACACAAACACCAAGACATTTAGTACATATTTGAATTTCTCTCTGTACTTGTAATATTGTTGCCCCTTGTTGACCCATTAATTTTTAATAAAGTATTCTTCTTTTATAATATAATTTTAATCCTACTTCTATTTATTTGCTCTCAAGTTTATCTCACATTGTATAAATTTGTATTCATAACTGAGAACAGCAGCCTTAACTTTTGATGGATTATGGTACATCATATTCCCCAATACACATTTCATCAATAAATATAATCAGTATTTACAGAGGTTTATCACCTTTGGTTATTGACAAGATCATCATAAAACTTTACAATTAAGTAAACAAAAAATGATACATACATGTGTAATAGTACATCTGAGGATTCCATCCCATGCTATAAGGTGGACCAGCCATTTCTCTCCTAGTATGCATGGTGTTTCGATTAAATCCTGATATTTTTTCTGTCGTTATCCAATGACTTGAGGACAGTTATATATTGATGGATGAATAATTGAATCTACTCCTAGCATGGACAATAGTTTTCAATTCCAACCTTCTGCAGTTATATTTTTCTCTTATAGTGCATTAACATGTATTTGCAAAATAAAAAAATGTGCACATTATCGAAAAATGACGTCAATAAGTTTTTTGACAGTTTAAGAAAGTCTTTCCATGAAGCAATCAATTTTAAGATTTTTACAATCTGCTTGTCCTTTCCCTGCAGTAATCCAAATTTTTCTTCAGCATCAAATGTTCACTTAAGATGCTTCAAAATCCGATGAAAAAAGATTTTCAAGATGAAAAACCGAAATCATTATTTAGACGTTAAGTAAGACATAATGTATTTTCAATACAATTTGCCAGAATTCTAAACTAATAAGCAAACACTTGTGAAAAAAACATCATTTCAAAATAACAATTATCAATGATTTATTATATTATTTCATTATTTTACTAAAATTAAACCTATCAGCTAAAAAAGTCAAAATAAATTTATATAGAAGTTAAATCTAAGAGGTTTAAAAAAAACCAATTCATTTAATGATAATTTGGCTAAATAAATCTCATTTATTTTTTGTATCCAAAAAAATCTAATAATAAATCTCAGCTTACAGAAAAAATCCAATACACTGGAACAATAAACAAATCAAACTTTTCTTTTTCTTTCAACACAAACAACTTTTATCCAATGTGGAAATAAATCACAAAGTTTGCTCATAATTAATGCTGCATGTCTTTTTTAAAGCTGAAGCAGATAAAAACATGTATGACTTTGAAATTCCACTCAAAATGTAAATGATATATCTGGAATTAACAACAACAAACAATGGATCCGAGGAGTTGGAAAACAAAACTCAGCATACAGGCTGTGACATATTCAGGTTCAATTTCATCCATCTATTAGAATGATACTGTTACAATCAATATTCTATAATAAGCAATAATTCCCCTCATTTAATCCCTTGAAAAATATCCATATATTTAGCATCTTTATCAGACAAACAGCAGTTGACAACTAGTTTTAAGGTTTTCAGTTCTTACTCATGAAATACATCATTTTATACATAAATACATTGTCAAGGCCTGTCACCTTTGATTTATATAAAATATAAATAACAAAGAACTTGTTTGACAGTCTAAACATCTTTGCATGTTCAATGTAAAAAAAAGTAAAATTTCTATAATCAAAAATTTTTTTTTCAACTATTTTCTTTTTTTGGAGATAAATAAAAGATAAGTTTTTGATAGATCTGTTTAGCATCAGAAAATAGAAATTAATAATACTGGTAATATTAATATATAATTGTAATTAGTAAATGAGAGAGTTAATATAACCTGCCTGGTACAGAGAACCTAGGTTGCAAATAAGGAAATAAATAGAAATTTAGGTTTTAGATATACCCATGAGGGCAGGGCGTTAGCTGATTAGGTGAAATTAATATACATCAAGATATTATAGTTATTGTAAATGATTCATTTCAATATTTTAGGAGATTTTCAGCACTTTGACCTTAATTTAAGAAGAACATGATAAATACAGAATATATAGTAACATTTAATGACATTTTGGTGTAAATATAGGAATTTTTACTGCAAAGTACTCCATATACCTTTATAGAAAGGTTAAACTGTGAAGTTATGGTTCATTTTAAAACAAAGAATAAGGTATCTCCTAATCTACACAATATGTCACTCTACAAACAATTCCAGTGTTAAAGAAAGGACTTAATCTACACAATATGTCACTCTACATACAATTCCAGTGTTAAAGAAAGGACTTAATCTACACAATATGTCACTCTACAAACAATTCCAGTGTTAAAGAAAGGACTTAATCTACACAATATGTCACTCTACAAACAATTCCAGTGTTAAAGAAAGGACTTAATCTACACAATATGTCACTCTACAAACAATTCCAGTGTTAAAGAAAGGACTTAATCTACACAATATGTCACTCTACAAACAATTCCAGTGTTAAAGAAAGGACTTAATCTACACAATATGTCACTCTACTAACAATTCCAGTGTTAAAGAAAGGACTTAATCTACACAATATGTCACTCTACAAACAATTTCAGTGTTAAAGAAAGGACTCAATCTACACAATATGTCACTCTACAAACAATTCCAGTGTTAAAGAAAGGACTCAATCTACACAATATGTCTCTCTACAAACAACTCCAGTGTTAAAGGGGCACTAGCTGTCAAATTCATGTTCACCGATTTGACTCAAATTCTCATATTTGTTATATAACAATGTAAAACATTTATCCAAATTAAAAAAAATCTAAAATAAACAATTTACAGGGCATAGGGTCGATAATATGTAGCTTCGTTTTGTGTGTATTTTAGTCTAGACGCCATCTAATTAACTGTCGAGTTGACCTCACGAAAACCACCGATGCCCATATAAGGGATATAAACATAAATAAAGATATAAATAGATAGCGCAACTCGTGCAATTGGATTCTTCTAGGTCTATTTAATTTCATTTATAGATTGAAAATATATGTTAATCATCATTTGTACCTGCATAAGAATGATTTTTTTGAGGATCGAATCAGTCAATTTAATGAATTACCTTTGTTTACTTTCAATGTTATCTTTCTTTTCCTTTAAATAATCAAACATGCACACAATTAATGCGTTATCCAACTCTATCTAAGGGGTTAAATTGAAGTTTACATGAATACGGATTCAATGAGGTCGAATTATTCACTTGCATCATCATCAATATTTATTTGCTTATTTTGACAAAATTAGACAATACTGGCTGCTCAAAGCGAATTATTATTTCACTATTCCACTTTCATAAATGATTGAACAAAAGAAAATCATATTTTATAATTTTTTTATATCTCGTAACTAGTGCCCCTTTAAAGAAAGGACTTAATCTACACAATATGTCTCTCTACAAACAATTCCAGTGTTAAAGAAAGGACTTAATCTACACAATATGCCTCTCTACAAACAATTCCAGTGTTAAATAAAGGACTTAATCTACACAATATGTCTCTCTACAAACAATTCCAGTGTTAAAGAAAGGACTTAATCTACACAATATGTCACTCTACAAACAATTCCAGTGTCAAATTTATTTGTTCAGTGTATGTTCACTGGTGTTAATATTTCCTTTGATTGAGTTAAGCTATTTCAGTTGATATTTTATAGTGTGTCTTTCTATGTTGTGATGTTACACTATTGTTTTAGAAAAAGGGTGAAGGTTTGGTACCATTAAAACGTTTAAACCCGCTGCATTTATTTGCACCTGTCCTAAGTCAGGAATCTGATGTTCAGTAGTTGTCATTTGTTGATGTGGTTCATAAGTGTTTCTCGTTTCTCGTTTTTTTATATAGATTAGACCGTTGGTTTTCCCGTTTGAATGGTTTTACACTAGTAATTTTTGGGGCCTTTTATAGCTTACTGTTCGGTGTGAGCCAAGGCTCCGTGTTAAAGACCGCACTTTGACCTATAATGGTTTACTTTTATAAATTTTGACTTGGATGGAGAGTTGTCTCATTGGCACTCATACCACATCTCCTTATATCTAATTAAAGAAAGGATAAAAAAATTAGAAGATGTGGTACGAATGCCAGTTAGACAACTTATTATACACTAGGTACCAAATGACGTAGATGTAAGCAACTATAGGTCATTGTACAGTCTTCAATAATGAGCAAAACCCATATTGCTAGTAAGCTATAACAAAATGATCCCTTGGGCACAGCTTGATACGACTGCAGAGGTCGAAACCCTAACAGTTGGGGCAATTATGGACATTACATTCAAGCTTGATACAGCTCTGAATTTGGATTGTGATTAAATATTTGACAAAGCATAGGACTAGGTTTCTGACACAGAATGAATGTGGTAAAAAAACTGAAAATCATTTATATACATGTTAACACTCTTAAAAAAGAACAATGCATGAACAATAATCACTAAAATTAATATCTGAATCAGCAAAAAGCAACATTCAAAAATGAAATGACAGCTGCTCATTTGCATATCACCTTAAAGATAAGACATAAATTATAAGCTAAAACATTGTAAGGGAGGTAACTCTTAATGTAAATAAATGAAACTGATCGAATATAAACAATTCAGCATAGCAAAAACCCCTACAATTCAAATTTTGTTGAAATCAAACAAAGTTTAATTTTGGACTCTTTGGATCCTGATGTAGACCAATTTGAATAAAATGCTCTGTGGGGCACACCTTGATACAACCTCAGAGGTAGTACCTTGAACAGTCGGGACAAGTACCCTACATTCAAGCTTGATACAGCTCTAAGTTTGGATTGTGATTACTCGTTTGACACAGAATAGGTTTCTGACACAGAATGAATGTGGTCAGTTTAAAATTGGACATTTACCTATTATGGTCCAATCTCCAAAATCTAAATACATATGTTATATTTAGCAATTCAAAGAACCCCAAAAATTAAATTTTTGATGAAATCAAACCAAAAAAAAGTTGAATTTAAGACCCTCTTGGACCTCAATGTGGACCAATTTGATAAAGGGGCCAAAAATCAAAAACCTAAATACAAGTTTAGATTCAGCATATCAAAGAACACCTTGAATTCAATTTTGTTAAATTATCAAAATAGGTTTAATTTTGGACCCTTTCAACCTTAATGTGGACAAATTTGAAAACCAGGCCCAAAATTTAAAAAAATCTAAATACAGGGTTAGATTCGGCATATCATAAGAACCCCAATAATCAAATTTTTGATGAACTCAAACTTAGTTTAATTTGCGACCCTTTAGACCTTAATGTGGACCAATTTAAAACCAGGGCCCAAAATTCAAAATCTAAATACATGGTTAGATTCAGCATACTATAAAAACCTTAAGAATTCAAGACTTTGAATTAAACCCCATTGAAATTGATCAAGAAATAAGCAATTTATACAAAGTATTAGAAAAGTATTGTTTTTGGCCAATTTTTCCTAAACAGTTCCATAACCGCTAAAAATCAATCCCAACCTTCCTATTTTGTATGAAACCTTGTGGTACAATTTAATAGAGATCCATTATTAGACTTAAACTCAAGTTATTGTCTGGAAACCAGAAAATCCTATGTTTTTGGTACTTTTTGTCCCCTAATTCCTAAATGGTTTGAGTCATAATCCCCAAAATCAATCCCAACCTTCCTTTTTATGGAACCTTAAGGTACAATTTCATAAAGATCCATTAACTTATACTCAACTTATTGTCTGGGAACCAAATGTCTTTGGATGATGACGACAACAACATCATACCATCATACGATCATAAAGATTTTGTGGTGGTATAAAAATGGGCCCAAAATCCAAAATCTAAATACATTATTAAATTCAGTATATTGAAATCAATCAAAGTCTAATTTTGCACTCTAATTTGAACCCACTTGAAAACACCGTCCAAAATCAATATTCTAAATGTGCAG